ACTTCTTGAATTCCACGCACAGTATGAATATTTTTGCCTGGATTTGAGGGATTGATGTGAAGTGTAAAAAATTAAAACTTTTTCTAACTTATTGAAAGTCCACGCATGACATAAATAACCACACATGGATTTTGGAGACTATTGTTACGAGTCATAAACGGAAGCGACATGTGGCACCATATTTCAACGGTGAGACCAGCTTAATGAAATCATGGTGTATTTTCCTAGCCTCTGACGTGGATTCCGAGGCCAATGCTGTTAGCCGAAGCCATGGTTCCGTGGCCATGCACTATCCAATGCCCTTTTGCAGCTAGGGAAGGGGAAAGTCAACTTGATGGCTAGCATTTGATGTCCTGGCCGAGGAGATGAGGCCACGTGTAAATTGATCCAAATATCATTATTTCATTTGTAACACTGTAAATATCCTCACCATGTAACACAAGAAGGTTAATGAAAATCTAAACACTTGGAGCAATATATCTCTCTCTTTCGTTTATAAAGTGTACTTTTACAACATATTTTCTACTACAAATAGTGCTTTATCAATTTGTTTCTTATACAATCGTGTTACATAAATCTTGTCGGAAGTTCGAACGGAGACGTCTCGTGTCATTGAGCTACTCTCACGTTCAGTTTCTGGAGTCATCTTGACCGTTGATCGGCATTAACGTGTTGGATCAAGTTCGTGTGTGCACGAGTGGACCCGACATCTGTTGGCACCATTTTTTGATGTCAACAAACACTCCAAGAAATGTATCACAATTTTTATCATTTATTTTCCTAATTTTAGTAATATATAATTTAATTCAAAGTTATTTCAATATAAGAAATAGTTATTCGATTTAAAAGATTTTATCAATAAAGATCCCGTTCGTTATTTTCGTTCGAACAATCACATCGAATCTTGAATTCTTGATCAGAAAATATTTCAAATAATGAAAATTTTACTTATATGTTCTATGTTTCTAGTAGCTTGTAGAAAAATGACAATAGAAGATAGAAACATCTATCATTCTTTGAAAAATCTACATTCCACACACGAGCAAGCAGGGGCGGATCCAGGATTGGATCTAAGACCGGGCTACAAAATTTCAAACCGGGCTAATACGCGAAAAAAAATAAATTTATACATGAAAAACTGTTTTAAGGAAAAAAAAAACCTTATAAAATTTAAACTCTGCGAGCAAGCTACAAAAAATGAATAGCTGCGTGGAGGTAGATAATATTTTAAACTCTCGACAAGAATGTTTAATTAAGTCCCTGTTTGGTTTAGTTAAAAAATTAGATTAAAATTTAAGTTAGTGTCAACAATTAATTTTAATCATACATTTCATTGAACTTACTTTTATCAAAATTCAACCGCGTATTTCATCAACTTTCATTAAAATCTACTAAAATTTTGATTTTTAACTGGATAAAACAGGAGCTAACCGTAAAAGTTAAATGTTCGAAATTTTCGACAGTTACTTTGTACTTGGATTTTCAATACAAAATCTTTCTTGGACCATAAGTAATTCTACTTTTATTCAAGGGATCTCGTATACAATGGCAATTATTGTAATAAGTTTTTTAACATCTTAGCACATAAATTGTGATATACATTTTGTTGGAGCGTCTTTTCTTATGATTAGATATGACAATAAATCGAAGCCAAGAAATTCAAGGAGTAAATAATGCAATTTGTCTACTTCTAACTCAAATTCAAAATTGTTGGCAATTCGTTTTAATTAGACGCATCGACTGTACATTGGATATGCATTGTTCAACATGTTCATACGTGACATATAATCTTTCTCTAAGCCACAAGCAACTTCAATTAAATATGATGTGAGACCTCCACCTAATATGAAATGTAGTTATTGTGTTGACATTAGCAGGCAATTACGTGACACCACCGTTGAGGTGGTAGAAAATGTTGTTAAGTTGGTTTCTAGTAAGTCAAGAAGTATAGGCGGTACAATGAGCAAGACTTTTCAATTCTATTAAATAATTAGCTAGAGTTAATTATTCAATCGTAGATCGCATTAGGGAAGACATAAACAATATGAGTTTTGATACGTTTTAGTAAATTGCAAATTTGATTGTTCTATCCATTCTATTGGAGTGAAAACCTCTACGCTTAACGAATGTGCAACCAACCTCGTTCCATCTATATGAGACCTTCGTTATGCGGAAGGTGATTTTGGGTATGAACACACGAAGTTATAGACGAGAGTTATGACATTTTGAATAGAGGTATTGGACCTATTCTAATCATACTTAAAAGAGCTCACAAATTTATGATGAGATACACGGTGACACGAAGGATAAAAAAAATTACGAGTTACAATATTGATATTTTTTAACTCTTATAACTCTCAGTTGAGTTAATTGATTGGAAGTCAGATCATACACCACTTCAAAAATCTATATTTTAATATATATTTTTTTTCGTATTAATACATATTCCACTAGCATGGTGCTTTGATAAAAAAAGGGGTAAATTTTTAGAATAATTCCTGGTGTATAGGAATTACTTTCGCATGGGCCTTATAGGCCCCTCATAGTAGCGTGGGCCCCACCCAAATGTATTTTAAAAAAATGTGGCCTCCCCCTCTTGTGTGTAACAAGGCAGGCTTTGTGAAGCAGACCCCTGTAATGCAAGTAGAACTCAAATTTTAAAACCTCCCTGAAATTTATAAAAACTATATAGGCACATATCTAATTTTAAAAATCACATAGACTATTTTCTCTTATACTCAACATAAAACTATATTATTTTTGTTATTTCTCTCTCTGCACAAATAATTACATTCAATTTACTTGTCAAATGTATAATTTATCTATTTTTTTTTAGAAAAGAATAAGATTGATCCAAAATTTTAACTAGAATGAGGAAAAGAAAAATGAAAAAAAATATATATAAATTCCATTCTTAATGACATTGTTTATTGTATTCTTTATTTGTACTATCATATTTGTTATGAGTACAAAATAAATAAATAAATAAAATAAAGGTAAAAAAAATTAAATATATTAGAAGATATTTACACAAGTTGAACGATATTTTCTTATATAAAAAAAATTGTTTGCATTTAAATCTTATGACATGAGGAAAAAAATGAGCGTGGATTGTTAACAATTATTGGGTTTATACCAACAAGGAAAAAAAGTAATAATTTAAATAACGAATTTGTAAATTGAATTCAAACTCTAGACAAAGAATCTCTTAATAATAGCTTAAGTTTTATTATAAATACATAATGATAGAGTAGGAAATTAAAAATTACTGTGGACTAGTAGAAGGAATTCATTATAGAAAACAAATCTAAAAAAAACTACGTAATTTTTTAAAGGCTAATTAGCACAAAACGTCCATACCTTTGGGGTTGATTTTGGAAACCGTCCCTACCTTTCATTTCTTGGCATTTATGCCCCTACCTTCAACTTTTTGTGCGCTGAACGTCATTTTCTCAACTTTTTGACGATTTTACCTCTCATTCAATTGAAATAACAAGAAAAGAAAAGAAAAAGTAAAGAATTAATTGCAATGATAACCCCAAATTTTTAAAACCTACTTTTGAGTCACAAGATACTAATTTTTTGCCTCAACCAGCCGCTAACTTTGGAGCCATTTTCAGCTACCTTCCGACCACCAAAACCATCGGATATTGACATCAATATAAAGCTCTTAACGTCCTCTACAATCACCACCCAACAACTCCCCGAAACACCAAATAATCTTGCCGAAATCAACTCTCGAAGTCGGCCACTCGAAAATCTAAAAATCGTCGGAATCTCTACCTCCGGCCACCCATTTGATCGGAACTCTTCACCAATCAATTGCCCACAACCAAAAGATACTAACCATGCCATCAATTTAACTCAAACAACACCACAGCACGCTGAATTAAACCCAGAAAAACAACAGCCGCGAAGAACATTTTGCAGGGTCCGAACATTCACGATTCCGGCGTCGATAGCTTGACCCATGGTCGTCGATCACATGGCCTGGACTCCTCATCTCTTGGCGCACCTCCCCAACCCCTAGGTCAAGCCCAATTGTTCCCTGAACACCACGATTTTATGGCTGCAGTTTGCGCACTCTGCAAGTAGTTTGGGTCGATGGATTTTGATGTTTCTGTACTACAAATCTTCGATTCACCTGCCCAACCTACAATTGATGAAGGAAAACACATGGGTCACATCACAATTGAGCCAATTTACAATAAATCATCCGAATTCAACTTGGCCCAAATCCGCCAGCGCGAAGAACAATCTGTAGAGTTAATTCAGCGTGCTGTGGTGTTGTTTGGGTTAAATTGATGGCATGGTTAGTATCTTCTGGTTGTGGGCAAATGATTGGTGAAGAGTTCTGATCAAATGGGTGGCCGGAGGTGGAGATTCCGACGATTTTTAGATTTTCGAGTGGCCGACTTTGAGAGTTGATTTCGGCAAGATTATTTGGTGTTTCGGGGAGTTGTTGCGTTGTGATTGTAGAGGAGGTTAAGAGCTTTCTGTTGATGCCAATATCTAGTGGTTTTGGTGGTCGGAGGGTGGCTGAAAATGGCTCCGAAGTTGGCGGCTGGTTGGGGGCAAAAAATTAGTATCTTGTGACTCAAAAGTAGGTTTTAAAAATTTGGGGTTATCATTGCAATTAATTCTTTAGTTTTTCTTTTCTTTTCTTTTCTTGTTATTTCAATTGAATGAGGGGTAAAATCGTCAAAAAATTGTGAAAAGGACGTTCAGTGCACAAAAAGTTGAAGGTAGGGGCATAAATGCCAAGAAATGAAAGGTAGAGACGGTTTCCAAAATCAACTCCAAAGGTAGGGACGTTTTGTGCTAATTAGCCTTTTTTAAACACTGTGTAATTATCATAAACATTACGAGATGTTTCTAAAATTTAGTATAGATTTTTTTGTTGGAATAACCTCATTGAGATACCTTTTTATTAGCCTATTTTTTTACCCAGTTTGGTAGTCACATTGAAAACCATCCAACCACATCGGACAATCAACTTTCTAAGTGCAATCGCTCACCCGTGTATTCAGTGGCGGAGGGAGGTGGGGCCAGTATCCTCTTGAGATTTGCTCTATTATTGAATTCACATTTCGACTCTATCAATCGTGGCATGGCATGTATCGTGAGATAATTAAGTTCACAATCAAAAACTAAATAGGAGAAATGCTCAAAACCAATTTTCAATAACAAACCAAATTTGCACACGACAATTCAATGTTCAAGTATTGTGTCGAACTGTTATTTTTTGTTCCTTTCCTCCTAAAATATATATGCAGGAAAAATTATTAAAATAAAGAAGTAGAAAACAGAAAATATGTCACACTCCATTTCACAGTGTGTCAGCATTGGCACCTCATTGACTCAGTACAGTTGACAAAGCAGTCTTGGAGTCGGCACCGCTTTAAGCCGAGTTGCACGAGGCGCAGTGAGTCCAAAAACATCATCCATGTCGATTTCACTCGGCTTCATCCCATTAGGCAGATCCCATGTGAAACAGTGGAGAAGATGAGCCACAGCCACTTCCAATGCATAAAGCCCAAGTTGCATACCGGGGCAGGACCTCCGACCCGATCCGAATGGAATGAACTCAAAATTACTTCCCTTAAAATCCGGCACCCCATCTTTGAGAAACCTAGAGGGTTTGAACTCATCCGGATCCTCCCATGCATTTTTGTCACGTCCAATGGCCCATGCATTGATCATGACACGTGACTTGGCCGGAATCTGGTACCCCGCCACCACTGCCGCCTCGGACGTCTCGTGGAGGAGGAGGGGAATGGGCGGATGGAGGCGGAGCACCTCCTTGAGACAGCATCGGAGGTAGGTGAGCTTCTCGAAGTCCGACTCTTCAACTTTCCGGTTGAGGCCGACGACGGTGGCTAATTCTTGCTGGACCTTCTTGAGATCTTCTGGGCTTCTCAACAACTCCGTCATGGCCCACTCAATGGCGGACGCCACCGTCTCAGTGCCACCAAACATTACATCCTGAAAAGACACCATATTTCTTTGTTAACACAATTTCACTCTGGCTGTTAATTTTGTTAGTGGTGGTGTCAACAACTTGACTATATCGTACTAGAAAAGAGTATTGCTACTAAAAATTAAGTTACTTGTACACAAATATTTTGACAGACGCTAATGCGACACGGATAATTGTAGTTAAGTTTGACACTCCTCTCACATGGGAGGTGGGGTCCGCAATTTTAAAAATCATGGGCCCCAGCCCCCATGTGTAAGGAGTGTCAAACTAGATGTACACAAACATTGTGACAAGCTTTCTGTTGAAAAAAAAAACTGTACAAATAGAAGGGTTCTGCTGCTAATTATCTTCATCTGCTTAAGTGACAGTGAATTCATTAATATATTCTCGAATGCGTACCTCCATTCACAATGAATTAGAGAGCACACCACCACCTACACTTATAAAGATATTTAATGGACAACTTCATTAACAATGAATCAAAGAGTACTATACTGAGTTAAACATGATCAAATCACTTGTTTGATAAATATAAAATATAACATATTAAATTGAGCATCTAGAAAGAAGGAGAAAATCTAAAATTTCGTAAATTATCTAATTTCAGTTTTAGGGTTTCATTTTAATATATTAAGGGCGTGTTCGGTATAGATTAAAATTGAAAAATTAGCTGTTATTGTCGACTTTTATTAGACGAGTGAACTCAATAACGGTCATATTTTCAATTTTAATTGAATTTTAAGTTATACCGAACAAGCCCTAACTTTGTTAAGAGGAATAATCCAAAACTTATAAATTGATATATATTTCATCTTTATTCAATGTGAGATTTTATTTCTTAACAATATAGTAATTCCAAACTATATGTAATGAATACTAGCAGATAAGTTGTCAAGTGGCAAATTTAATTAAAAACCGTATATTTTATATTTATGAGTAACACCTGTACGTGCAATTAATATGATATGATTTTGTGCAAAAAGTAGTTCTTATATCATTATCTCTCTTGTAAGTAAAGTCATAAATTGTTGGTCATCAAGTATGTTACTCAATTAATTTCCTTTCCAATTCAAATAGAATGCCAAAAACGAAACAAAGATAAATTTTTTTTTTTTTTCTTTTTTTGCCCAAAAAACACAATGTGTCGCTGTTTGATTACAAGCAGACAATCAGACAACTTGACAATTCAGTCATTCAGTGTAACAGGCAATAACTTGTGAAATCAAACCATATTAATAAATATATAATTATTTGTTTTTGATTTATCCCACCAAACCCCATAAGAAAAACATTTATTTTTAAAAAAATTCATACGTACCATTATGATGGCTTTGATGTTATTTCTAGTAAGTTTGATGGAGTTCTGCAAATCCTCTGATTCTTTAACAAGGGCTTCATCACTGTAAAAAGCTAATAACTCATCCACCATATCATTTTCGACCGCATCATTGGGCTTCTTTTTCTGCATATGTTCATCAATAATTGAATCAATGAATCCATCAAGTGAAGCACGAGCCTTTTGTAATCTGTTGCTTAGGCCCTGTGGATCCATCCAGCCAAGCCCTGGAATGAAATCTGCAATGTTAAAAGCACCAAAAAGTTTGGAAAATTCTTGCAAAATCTTGATGAAATCATCTTGTCCCTCATGTGAACTCGAACCGAAAGCAGCCCGATAGATGATATTTCTAGTGAGGCCAAAGACTAACTCGCCGATGTTCACGAGAGAACGGGTGTTTGCCGCCACCTGGCTGACCATATCATCCACCTCATCGCGGACGGAGTCCCAAGACTCGGCCCGTTTGCGACTGAAGAGTTTCATGACGCAGAGCTTTCTCATCTGCCGCCAGAACGGTCCGTAGTGAGCAAATGCCATATCAGCCCTGTCATAGGTTAGGTAACTTATTGCAATAGTGGCTGGACGGTTCGAAAATATGTTGTCTTGGACTTGTAACACTTGGCGGGCGATATCAGGACTTGATATTGCCACCATGTGTAGAAACCCGATTCGTAGGTGGAAGATGCCGCCGTATTTCTTTGCAAGTCTCGCTAGGCCTCGGTGAGTTAGTTGGTCCATTATCCCCATGTTACCTACCACTGGCCACCCTTTAGGCCCTGGCGGATAGGGTTTTCGACGAAATCTTGATAAAAGGAACAAGAAAAATAAAGGTACAATCAAGAAAATTAACAAACTTTTAGGCTCTAAAGATTGAAATAGAGTAACCATATTCTTCTCCATGACTTACTCTCCTTTTTTCCACTTGCTACCTATAAATTTAGAGAGTACAGAGAGAAAAACGCACAACTCAAATTGTTGCTAGCTTTTGATTTATATCATGGGGTCTTTATATACAACTGATATATAGCATAGCATACAGATAAGATCCAATGTAATAAATTTTTAATATATTTGAAAAATAAGGTGTATTTGTGGGGTAGGGGTAGGGTGGGCATGGGATTGTAAATACACCACGAGTGCCGTTCAACTTCATTGAGGAGATCAAGTGAGGCTCCTTGTGTGTGACGAAGTGATAAGACAGGTCAATTGTAGGGTTTTTTTCCCCATAAATCTCGAAAAAAAGAAAATGAAACTAGAAAAAAGGTTGAGCCTAAGATATTATACGTACAATATAACTGACGGCATACTAGAAATATCCAGTAAATTGAAAATGGACTGTATTTTCTTCTGGAGTCTTATAGTACAGGAGATCAATATGAAGTTGGCAGCCGTCAATGGAAAAAAAGTAAATTTAATTAAGAAAATTCCTTAAATTGTTACATTTCTATAGAATGACTAATAAAATTGTTTGGTCAAATTCTATTTTTATTCATGCATTTAATGGGAATCATAACTTTTACGTATTTTTTAATTATACATTTAATTGGATTATTTGCAAATGGAATAGTTATGTGAACGTATTCTCGAGTTTCTTTCATCTTATATTTGGCGATATAAGTAGCGAGGTTCTTCTGTTAATCTTTTTTTCTCTTTTTCACTATTATTTTTAAAAATATTACTTTATTTATTTTTTTTGGTAAAATAAATAACACAAAAATATCAAAACCATAATTAAACACATTGAAATTTTATCATTCCCCCATAAAAAAAAGGTGACAGACTTTGATATAAAACCTCACGAAATCATTCTGTCATTTTCTGTCTTTAGACCTTAGAACTCATTGAAAGTATCATTTTACCCTTTTTTTTGTTCTAATCTGAATCTACCCTTCGATTAACAACAAAATTTTCGTACAATTATTAATGTTTATGCTTGATATTCAAGATAAGATTAACAGTAATATTTGCGTCTAATTTTCATCATTATAACGTCATTTTTTTTGGTGAAAAGTAATTATTAAATAAATCAGCTTCCAAAGGTTTACTTCCACCTGGCCACGTAAATAATCACACATCAAGACCCCTTTATGCTGTAGTTGGTAACGAAGAAAAAATAAATCAATCAATGAATTTGTCCATTGAATCCTCATAAAGTCATTGCCATTGGCTCTTAACAATAACCAAATCTTTGCGTCAATTTTTCATCATTTCAAGGTTTCTGCCACCTAGACATTGATTAATTTCATCCATATGTTTGGTTATGCTTTTATTTCGAAATTGATAATAAGTCAATAAATCTATTAAGGGTTCGTTTGATTGGCGAAGGTGGAAAGACTTTCAAATTTCATGTAAGTTCGAAAATAAAAATTCAAGTACCCCATAAGAATATATTTTCTATGAAATCGACAAAAAATAAGTTTAAAGTTGTTGTACCTTAAAATTCGAACTCCATTTTCATTTTCGTATCAAACAGCAAAAATAGAAATTGAATTTCGATGTGATATTTTCATGGAATTTAAACCAATCAAATAGACCATAATATTTTTTTTTTCAAAGAACTTGCGTGAAGAACTTGCGTGGATTGCGAACACGCCTGAATTCTCTAGGAAATAAGCATGACACGACCCACCTATCTAGATATAACTTTATTCTTGATTGAGCCACTATTTCTTTGTAGACTTTATGAAACAAAGTACTGCACGTGCCTCCTCAAGTTTTGGCAGACTTGCCTATACTACTCTCCTAGAAGTTGCTGAAGCAATGAAACGTGTTGCCTTGAGTTTCCAAATATGGGGCAATCAAAACAAAAGTTTGGTTCCAGTCGAAATCGACAAAATTTGATGGGATCCTCATTGTTTGATCAGTGAACTGCTGGAAAAGCTAATTCGAAGGCTACTCAAATTATTATGAAAGTAAAGTAAACTGCATCAAGTTGTGAAAACTTTATATGAGATGAATTTATAATTACTGTAATCTGGTGCAGGCAACTCTATTAACAAGGTGTATAGTATTTGTACCTATAAATGTAGAATAATGTTATCTAACACAAATTTATGTGGCATTATATGATATATTCAATTAGATGTGAACTGATGCGATTCATTTAATTGAACATATAATTTAATTTTATTAATGCTACCACCTAAGTTGTTAAATTTTGGTGAAGCTAAACAACATTACTCGTAAATACAGCAATCTGCTGTGACCTGGCCTAAAATGTACGACCCAACTAACCTACATATCATTTTTCTATGCAATTAAAAATTGTATTAAATTCCAAACGGGATTTTCAATCTTTGGTAATTGTATTCATGACCCAACTTACTATTTGTTGAACTCGTATTTCCAGTCTTACAAAACTGTGGCGTTCATATATTTAGTTAATGAAAAATGTCTATTTACACATCAAAGTCACCGTTTGACATAGACGCATTAGTGGACTAAAAGGGTAAAATTGCCCAAAAATATTTTCTATATTGCATTACAATCCAAGTTGTGACTTGTAAAATTCTTCCATATTCATGAACTCTTCTGATATCACATGAGTGTCATGTGGTCATTTATCGTCAAATAGATATTTTCTGTCAATTGTGGGCATAAATTTCACAGTTTTAAAAGGTGGGGGACATGGGTCCAACGAACGATAATTGGTTGGATATATGAGTAGCACACTTACAAAAGATTGGGGACTCCAATTGGAATTTATCCTAAAAATGGAGCTCACGAAGGACAAAATATTATGAAAAACTCAAGTGGACTAGTGATGGCAATGGGGCGGGTTCGGGGCGGGGCACCCTCATCCCACCCCGCCCCCCCCACTTCCCCACCTCGTCCCGCCCCGTGCCCCACCCTACTTTAGACGGGACGGGGCGGGGGCTTGCCCCGTTTCCTGCCCCGTTTATGTTTTTGTTTTTT